GATAAAGATGTTAAACAGAGCTGGGCCCAGCACTGAGCCCTGGGGGCACCGCTTGTGCCCGGCTGCCAGCTGGATTGAACCCCGCTCACCACAACCCTCAGGGCTCGCCCTTCCAGCCAGTTTTGACCCAGCAAAGAGTGTGCTCGCCCAGGCCATGAGCCGCCAGCTTCTCCAGGAGGACGCTGTGGGGGACGGTGCCAGGGGCCCTGCTGCAGCCCAGGTACACAACATCCACGATCCCTAATGCACCTTCTGCCCTGGTGAAAGCATGCCTCCTGCAGGTAGCAATGAAGTCTCTCTACCCTATGACTAAGAAACCTCCCACTATAAGGTCTTACCCATATACCTCTTTTACCAAACCCATTTTAGAAATGTAGGCAACCAGGAGACCCTGGAACAAAGAGTTTATGGTGTAAACTGATGATTTCACAACAATGAACACTCTGTCCCTCCACCAGCAATGGTCCGCTGATGGTGCAAATCAGAAGACTGAAGAATAACAGCCAATGATTCAGAACAAATTCAACACAGAGCGAGCTTCCTTTCTGTCACAAAGCAGTGCCCATGTCATCTCTGCCCTGTGCCACTGTGCGTGCCTACCTGTTCGCCCGATCATCTCATACCCCCAGGCTCGCTGATGGAGACTCACAACCACCCTTTGCTTAGGAGGACACATTTGCAGCCTCAATGCACGTGTGTGCCTGTGCAATCACGCAGCGCCCTGTCGACCGTGGCACTGGCACCCAGGAACACATGCAGCTCAACTCACTGAGAATCATCTCTTTTCCTATCTCAATGGTCAGTGCAGCTTAGGAGAGTCCCAGAAGAACAATTTTTAAGTTTGGATTTTAAGTTTCAATTGAGAACTCGCAGTAGAGTTTGCGCCTTCCTGTGTTGGGGTTTGCGTTCTCCGCTTCCCAGAGGAGAGGGAAGCCAGTGAACGGGAATGGAAATTCCTAGGAATGAGCAAGGACAGAGTCCCCCAAAACCTCAGACTAGCGCTATACACGTGCTCTTGGAGATCACTCCCCTGCATGTTCAGCTTGGGTCTTGTTCACGCTTGATTCTTCCCTGAGACTGCCACTCACCTTCCTCTTCACGTCAAAGGGCAGGGTGAAGACCAGTGACCAGTAGAAGGAGAGCTCCAGCAGGTAGTACCAGAACAGGGAGGGTTGGAGAGGCTGTGAGAGAGGGAGAGACAGTGAAATACCCATTGGATGAAGTAAAGCAAGAGCTGGAAGTGAAGACTCCTTCCTAGGCAAAAGAATATCAAGACAACCAAACCAACAAAACTGGCTATTGCAGCTTCAGTGGGAAATACTTCAACTGAAATGTCAGCCATGCTGAGGCAAAAGCAAATAGCAGGGGAAATTCCACTTTGCCGCACCACGTGGAACATTTAGGGAACTACCGGAAAGATCCTGAATATTTTTAGGATTTCTTCAGCACTGTGCAGATTCCTGAGTAGTCAGTACAGAGCTTTAAAAACTATGCAAACCATTTCACTATGGTGAAATAGGTAAGCAGTAGCTGAATAAATCATTCCTTTTTTACAATTCAAGGAGATGCTTCAGATACCTTGTACTCTACCGCAGAATTTTTCAGTTTAATCAAAGTAATAGGGGGAAAGTGCAGTCCCAGTGTGAACAGTAATCTGCATTCTGCTGGGTATTTTTTCTGGGGTTTTACAGCTGGAAAACTAAAAGCTTAGAGCCAGTCAGCAAGACATGTGCTATTTAGCAAGTAATTTTTTGCTGTTGTGGCACTGTATGGCCTCCTTAAACCTGAACCTATTTGATAAGAACCCCCCCAACAAACTATGGCTAAAGTTCTCGAATGGGCTGCCCAGGGAGGTGGTTGAGTCCCCATCCCTGGGGAGATTTAAAAGCTGGGCAGACGCGGTGCTTAGGGACAGGGTTTGGGGGTGGGATGGCAGGGTTAGGGGAACGGTTGGGCTTGATGATCTTAAGGGGCTTTTCCAACCTAAACGATTCTGTGATTCTATGATTCTATAAAGGGGCTTTGCAGCCAGCATTTCCAAAGAACCATGGAGTGTGGTGCTCCCAAATAGCAGTTTATTTGGGCTTTGTCTACCCAAATGGTTGGTTTATGGCCTTCATAGATTTTATTTTGTTTTCCTTGTAGCACCAGTGATTGGCCACAGGAGGAAGCACAGCTAGGTGCAGTGGTGCTACCAGGGGGGATCTCCTAGGCTTAATATCTCCTATCTCTTAATATCTCCTAGGCTGGTGTGTCCTCTTCACACTCTGGAGGTTATCCAAACAGGAGCTCTCGATCAGTAGGGATTTTTTTTCTCCCCAAAGATAAGATTCTTTGGGAGAATTGGCATTTCTTTTGTCATTGCCTGTAGCACAGGGTATGGTCTGTTTAGTAGAAATTGTATTTCATACACTCTTTGTTCCTGCTAATACACAGGTTTGTCCTTGATCTTACCCTTTGCCAGAGGACATTCATTACTAGCTCTGGGTTTGGTCTTTTCTGTTTGTTACAGATGTTGGGAAGTGTGTGACTTGGGTTTGGGTGGCAAGGTTTTGGCAGCGGGGCGGCTGCATGGATGGTTTCTGTGAGAAGCTTCCCCAGATCCAACCAGAGCCAGTTCCAGACAGCTCCAAGATGGACCCCACCGCTGGCCAAAGCTGAGCCCACCAGCAACAGTGGTAGCACCTCTGGGGGAACATATTTAAAAAGGGGTAAAAAATGCTGCACAGCAGCAGCTGGAAAAGAGGAGTGAGGATACGTGAGAGGAGCAGCCCTGCAGCCACCCAGGTCGGTGCGGCAGGAGGAGCTCCAGGCACCGGAGCAGATTCCCCACAGCCCCTGGTGCAGCCCATGGTGGGGCAGGCTGTGCCCCTGCAGCCCAGGGAGCCCGTGGGGGAGCAGATCCCCACCTGCAGCCTGGGGAGGATCCCACGGGGGAGCAGGGGGGTGCCCGAAGGAGGCTGTGACCCCATGGGAAGCC